TTGGTTAATTTTACAAATGACAGGACCGCCTGCCTAAAGGGGATTCAGTCTTTAAAATGGTTCGAATACCGATTGGATAAATGGCCGACTGATCGTCTAGCCTGGAAACACACAACCAGTCGTCCAGGGTCATAGGCAGCGTGACTAACTATCTGTACCTGTCTGCAACTATCGGCCATGTAAAACAGTCGGTATAGTGTACAATTGGATATCAGAATAATTCAATACTTGAACAAATTTGAAGCAAAACAAAAAAATTCATTAAAAAGAAGCCGGTCATTAAAGACCGGCAAAATATTCAGAGCCCCGGCCCCGTGGCCGGGTAAATACAAACAAACGGCACGCAGGCCGTGGAAAGAAGACATAAAGCTTAAGAAGGGGGCAGATCTTCAATATTAGCAGCTGCCACCTGGTCAGCACTCTTCTTGCTGGACTCGGCTTCAGCTGCATCCTTCTTTGATGCATTACCCCCAAGCGGCACAAGCGCCACTACCGGCTGCTCCTCCTCCTCCAACGCCTCTTCCTCAGCAGCCGCCAGGATCTCTTGATTATATCTATCAGAACACTGGCGGTACGTTTTTTCCCATGAGGCAAAGTCGACATTGGGGAAGAGGCGGCCCCAAGTCATGCGCTGGATTTGAGCAGAGTCTTCCATCATCTCCCGGACCAGCTCTTTCTTTTCTTGCTCGGCCTTTTTCCGAGAGCTCCTGAGTAAGACTCTTCTCCTGGGTCACCAGGCGTACCTTTACGCTCGCCAATGATTTCTCCAAGGTTTCGTATGAGGACATCTTTTGGCGAAGAGGTCTCAGCTCGGCCTTGAGGTTGTTGATGGTCGCCTCCAGCTCGCTATTCCTCTTCTGGGCCGCCTCTAACTGAGCCCGGATAGCGGCGGTAGCCTGCGCCTGATAATAAAGAATATCAATGGTCAGAACTTCATTTTGCGCAATTTGAAACATTGCCTTATCACAGTCAGAGGCGGCCATAGCTTTTGCAGCCTTTACCTCTTTGTTCTTCCGGTCAAGCGGCTTGCGAAGGCCGTTCACTCGGAGCAGGGCCTAAGTAAAAAGGGGAACAGACGTCAGTTTCCAAACAAAAAAGAAAACAGGCGTCCTGGAATTCAAATACTCAAAAATATGTTAAGTATACCTCAGCAAGGACCCCTGCAATCCCGTCTAGGTCAAGGGTGCCGACACCCCTGACCGCCTCCCTTTCAGCTGGAGGAACGACCTTGATCATAGACTTGGCCACCTCGACCAAGTCAGGCTCCTGAGGGCCGGCTGCATCAAGCATAAACAAACGGATTAGACCTAGTAAAGAAGGGAGCAAGTCAAAAATTTACAAGGATAATTTCATACTTCTAGGTGGCCAAGCTGGTTCGCAGCCGCCACATGTTTCCTGGCAGAACCAGGAGAGCTCGCAACAGTCGTCCTCCGGGCCTTGGGGTCCGGCTGTTGGAAAGAAGAAGCTCTTGGAGCGCCCGTCTAAAAAAGAAGAAAAGAGTCAGTATATGCATAAACACAACTCCAAAAAGAGGGTGAAAGGTTCGAAGCCCACCAAGGGTGCCCCCTTGTTGAGGGAGTCGGTTGAAGACTGTTGCATGATGGAGGCCCGCAACATGGCCGCCGCAGTCTTGGAGGCGGTAATTTTGCTCATGGCGTCTGCTGCAAAAACAAATAGCAAAGTTAATAAAAGTCATAACAAGAAATGCATGGAACAACAGAGTATTCGACAGGTCGGCTACCTCTTGAGCACCGACTGCTGAGGCCACAGGCGGCCAAAAAGTACTCGTCGTAGAGCCATTTGAAGCTCGGGACGCAGTGCAGGGGTACTTGCTCTCGTACCCCTGAAGTAGAGTTCACCTTCGACTCTACTTTGAAGAGTCCTTTATCTAGGATCTCTTTCTTAGCCTTGGGGGGAACAGGCGGCATGCTGCGGCCGCCTGCAAGAAGGGGCGGATTCCTGTTCCACCTGTTGAAGCGCTTGTTCAGCTCTGTGTCTGAACTCTCAATGATAAGGAAGGTGCTCCGCCAGTCCTTCCATTTGTTTGCTTTACCTCTCGTCATGAGGTAGCCCCTGTGGCTCGTCAATTGATACCAGCCGGTACCACCTGCCTTAGGGGTCCGGCTGAGGTAGTTCATGTGGGCGAAAGCCTCGAATTTCGGCTCCACCCCGTGCAGTTCGCACCCGGCCACATAGCCGAGTACGTTGACCCAGGAGTTCGGGGCTAACTGCCATAACCCCAACTCATACCCATCCAAGATCCGCTGAACAGCCGGATGTAGTGGGAAGCGCAGCCCAGCCTTGATGGCCGCCTCGTAGCAGCCAAAGCAGGCGCCATCATAACTGGTACCAGCCGGCCAGACGACTGTGTCTTCTGGATCCGGCACGAACACTAAAAAGTCGGGGCCCATTTTGTGGTTTGCGATAAAGCTCTCCACTTTCTCTTGCATAGATGTGATCTGGCCCCGAGGTACCGTGCAGTAGTAGGGGGTATTTTGCTCTCGGTGAGAGGCGGATGGCTCCGCCCAATCGTCCCCCTTCTCAACTGCGTGAGAAAGCCTCGCCTCTTGTAGGCGACTGTTTTTCTCTTCTGTGTCCAGAGAAGCATGGCCAGAAGAGCTAGACTCGGAATCGTCCTCTGACGAGTCCGAAGAGGACGACTCCTCCCCTCTCCCGGAGGGGCCCACCTCTTCTCCTTTAAAAGGAGCAGGAGAGAATGTAGAATTGTCAACTGTAAAATGGGAAGGGGTCACTTTGACTCCTCCCTCAGAACTGCTGGCTTTCAAGCCGCTTTGTTTCACTTCCACATCTGGCGCCTGGTCAGATGTTTCACTAATCGGCACCCTGTGGGAGGAGCCGTCTGAGTTTGAGATCCTGGCAGTCTTTTTTGTTCTGGCCATCATGCTCTGCATAGACACAGATACAGTCGGACTTTGTATAAAGGGCAAAGATGGGTCCAGAAAAGGGCAGGCGGCACTCCTAGTCCTAGATTCAGCCGTCCTCGGTGACCGGCTGATCACTAACCTAGGTCGTGTCGTGTGCTTCCGTGGTGCCATTTCAAAAAAAGAATAAAGTAAAGAGAAAATTAAGAGTAAGAGAACCGACGGTTACCTGAACGAGTGACGATTGATGAAGTTCTGAAAATCCTTTGCAGTCGGCTTGTCAGAGCAGGCGGTTGGCAGAAAGGGTCCAAAATGTCAGAGCAAGTTCAGGGGTCCGAATGTTCTCTCACAAAGTTTTCAAGTGTGAAAATGACCGAAGTCAACACTCCTTTATATAGGCGAAGTGAGAAGGCGAAGGGTCACTTCCAGAATTCAAAATTTTGGCGGGAGAATCTCTCGGCCTCTCGCCGAGTGACACCTGTAGCAGGCCGTCGCCTGTTACAGGGCGATACCTGTCACAGGTAACACGTGACCAGTCACGTGCCACCTGTGAGGGGCCAATGATTAGGGGATTTTTCCCCACCAATCATCATCTGACAAGTGGACCAATCAGGTTCTGCCATGTGTCCGTCACATGGGCCAATAGGAGCCTGCCACGTGTCAAGCAATGATCCGTCCACTATGGACCAATTACGACACGACACGTGTCCTTCCCATGACACCTGGGATAACCGGTCACCTAGGCCCAACTTCCGTGGGAAGCCCAATCAGCCCAAGGTTAACCTAAACCTAGATTGGCACGTTTCCCGAGGTTATAAATACCTCCCTTAATCCTCATTAAGGGAGATTACGCAGATTACACACATTAAACTCTCTCACCTAGAGAGACCCAATCACTTTAATTTCCGCATTAATTACTCCTTAATCAAGTACTAACTTGACCGTCGGAGGCGGATCTCCAATCATCCGGAGCATCCGTTTGTTTTGCAGGTACAGGCGCCCGGTTCCAGTCTCGGAATTGTAACTCTCCCGCAGGACATCAGAAAACCCCGAAACACCTCTTAATTAGACTTATTTAGTCATTCAATTCTTTGAGATTAATAAATGCATGTTTTATGCATTGGCTCATATTTCCCTTTCAAAAAAAAAAAAAAAAAAATTGAAGGAAAACCGTGATTTTCATAATCTAATTTTTGTTACCTCACAAAACAAAAAATAGGCGTATTAATGAAAGTTTAGCCACTAAAGAGTATTAAATTGTTGATGTTGATTTGAAAAATTGATGGACGATGATTGGAATGTCTTCTGAGTAGGATTTGGTAGACGGTTTAAAATGATGAATCCTTATTTAGAAAAAGGTTGAAAATAAACCTAATTTGGGAAAAAGTAGAGTAGGTGATATATGCAGAAACTTTTCACCTAACTCTCTAACTCACATTAGTAAAGTTAGTAGTGACCACGAAGCTTGCGTAAATTTGTTGCCTAATTTAGATTTTAATATAGTGATTTTAGGTTATAAATTTGTACAAGTAATTGATTTTTTTTTTCTTTAGATTTTTATATTATTATGTACTTTCATCTATAAAAATAGGAATCCTTTCATTAAAAAAAAAATCCTTTAAAAATACTCCGTAAGTTATTTTTTCTTTTACTTTAATTCTATTGGGTAAGAACATCTCTCAATAAATTAGTTCTCATTCTTCTCAATCACTCAATGTCACAATGAAAACTATGTAATGCAAGACTATATCATTCAGAAACAACGAAAGTATAGCTATTTGATTTTTTAAATAAAAGTTTTGGGAAATTGCAAAGTGTATACACCATATGATGCAGATGAATAAAATGAGTATACATAATAAAAACATTTGGCTAATCCACCTCTGCACTTTTCAATTTTATTTTCAAGGTAAAGGAGGGAAGGAAATTTATTATTGGAAGCAATATACTACTCCAATATCACAGAATCATATTCATAGATATTAGTCACACATTGTCATTTGTAAAGAATTAGTAGTCTAACTTGTTACGATATCACCTAGTACCTAGTACAGAGTAAGTGTTAAGAACAAATGACAACTTTTTCAAACATCCTAAATTGCAGAATTTAAAACAAAATAAAGGAAGACAGCTTTTTCAGATATCCGCAGCAACTTATTGTTATAGATTATTGATCTATTACAATATTGATCTGAAAATGGTTCAATATGTAATAGATTATTGATCTGAAACCTTAATGTCATCTGCAGCAACTTTACAGTCTCCAGTGATCACTGAACACTTAATCGACAACAAGGTGAAAGGAAGTCTCCAGTGATCACAGAACACTATTTACAACATGGTGAAATGATGTCTCCAGTGATCACTGGAACACTTACAACAAAGTGAAAGGATACCATTTTTACAGCTTGGACCGTCCTGTATTTCGCCCAGCTATAAAGTCCTGCATTTTCTTAAACTGCTCTTTTGTCATTCCATCATAATAACTATGAGCCCTCGCCTGCAAGATAGAAGCATAGTTTACATGGTAAGTTATAAGCAGATGACACATATCAATTGGAAATGAACATGACAAACATTACAGATTCATCAGTTAAAATTCCCTCAGAGAAAAATGAGATACAATTACTACATTGTATCAGCAACTTCTTTCATTACTAGAATTATGTACAGTTCAAATGGAACAAATATAAAACAATAATTAAACAACCCTATACAGTTAGAACTTGGGAATATGTGCACATTCTCAAGTTCTCCAATTGATCAGATGATATATAAACAATGAGCTCCAGCCCACGATCAAATAGATTCTTTAATTGCGATAGAGGAGATAACATATTTACATGGCATTAACAACCAGTCAAATGCAAAACGGGAAGCAACAAAAAACTCACACAGTATAATTATATGGCAGAAAGTTGGTATGTAAAGCTCTGGAAACAAGACCAGTGTTCTTACAACCACTTGCCCTTCTCCCACGTCAGCTTAAACGGGAAAGAGAACTTTAAGCTTTACCAAGTAATACCCTTTTGAAAGAAAGCATGCTGAATTTGATTATCATTACAATTCAGAACAATATAGCTTCATTGGGGATGTGGAAGTCATGCAATTATACTAATAATAAGCAAGGCTCTCACCAAATTAATGAACTAATTACCCTCAGAGCTCAGCCAGAAAACAAAGAAATCAACAAAAAGCCCATGAGCTCAGAAAAGATAAATACCTTTTCCAGTGCAAGTGCATCACCCAAGCTGAGCTTCAGACCATCATTTATGACTGATTTATACCGCAAAACAAGGTCTTGGTTGTTCTTTGCAATTGAAGTTGCGATTTCCTGAGCTTTTTTCATCAATTCACTGACTTCAACTACGTGATTAACAAATCCCAATTTTTCACCCTGCTCTGCAGTCAAAGGAGTGGCAGACAGTGACACTTCACGAGCTTTATTTGGCCCTATAATGCGAGAAAGCTTCTGTGAGAGCCCCCATGAAGGAAATATCCCAAATCTGCAGTATTAGCACAGATGAAAATGATAGTGAATGAACTATGAACAAATTATTACACAAAAATTATGAGCACTACTGCACTAGCAACTGAAGCTAAATAAAAGGGCATGTTTCCAGTGAGAACATACAGTAGTTTTCTGCCACACACACACACACACACAAACCAAAAAAAAAGTTACAATTTAATTTAAAATTATTATACTGACTTTTAGCTTCAACTTAATGATAATGGCCAAGGAGAGGAAGAAACAACAAATTAATAAAATTATGCGTTTGGTAAGGCATTCACAGAGGAAGGGGAGGTGAGAAAAAGAAAAGGCTTGCATTATTCTTTGAAATCTTTCTAACATTGTTTGGAAGTTTTAGCTTATCAAATTCCCTTCTCTCATTCCACGTCTAAAAAAGGGAAAGCAGACCCTTTAGTTTCACTTTCTTCCAATTCCTAATCTGTTAATCTCATAAAGCATGTGAGTTATGCAATCTTGGTTGATCTGCCAGATTCAAAGTAATCTGGAACTAGCCTCCTTAATTTTTTCCACATGTTTTCATCCTCCCCTAACTTTATGATCACTAAACTTGCTGCATTTATTTTCCAAGATGAGAGAATGTATTACATATTTCCACTTCAATTCCTCTTGTTGACTTTCCTCGTTTTGTTCCAGGTCTAATCCACAAATTGCAAACCCTTCTTTTGTTGATCCTGGACTGATCTGGATGCCTCTCTGTGGTATGCCTAGCTCTAGGATACCGATTATAGTTGCACCAGACTTTCCAATGGTCTCTCTAGCTTTCTGTCTGTTGCCCGGTGTTAGCTGTGCATTTTTTACTGGAAATATTCCGACAAGGTGGGCCTTTGAACAAACATACATGCTTACTATAATATTGATCAAACTCTCTAGGACAAGGATGTGCTCCATCAGTTGGCTAATGCACTACAATCTTATTGGCTACATTATTATTAATAATAAAAATAATATGGACATCATTTGCCTCATGAAACAAGCCACACTCATCTCCTTATCAAGAGTTCATAATTGTCATGCTATTGCTAAGCCCGTGCAACAAGTGAGCTACACAAAACCTGTTTAGCAAGTTGAGCCACACAATTGTTCCCAACTCTATAAGAGTTATGTAAACAAATAGTTCTGCATAAACTCTCTTAAACCGTAATTGAAACATCATTAAGTTCTTAGCAAGTAGATTTTCCATATTACATAGTTCCACATGCCTAATAATTAAATCCTCCAGGAAATGCACACAAACCTGATATGCCTGATTAGTAGGTAAAAATTATAGCAACTCTATATATAGTTCTATATCTCCTAATTAGCCCCAACTTGCACTCTAATTTCCCATCTATTTTAGCAAATGTATCATTCCTTATTTCCTAAACTTCACACTTGACATTCCAATTACACTCCTAAGTGCGCATAAATCTACGTGCACCCAAGACTATGTTTTTATCACATTCAGAGAGCCCCAAATCACATTTGTTGGACAACTGCAAGTTCCATCACTCACTCTGTCATACCAAGAGTTACGTACACCCAAGACTATTTCTGCTCATTCGGACAGCTCCCAATCACACTTCCAGGATTTATTAATTAATTAACACTATAGCAATCCAAATACCAGCATATAAAACATTGACATAACAATTTGATTAACAACATTCCCCATTTCCTAGCAATATATTTCTATATCAATAAAATCAAAACCCAGATATCAAATTACTCCCATAAACAAGAATCATGCTCCAAAATTCCAATAAATTATCAACAATTACATAAACCCAATTCATGAATCACCCCAAAAATTAAAACAAAATAAAAAAAATCATTACCTAGCATGAGTATCAATAAACTTGGTGTTTTTAGCAGCAACAATCAAATCACAAGCAAGAGCAATCTCAAAACCAGCAGTAACAGCAAACCCAGAAATAGCCCCAATTATAGGCTTCTTACACCGCTCCATCTGAGCCACAGGATCACCCTCAACATCCTTAACATCACCTTTGAATACGTCTTCCGCAGCAGTCAGATCAACCCCAGAACAGAAGGCCCGACCCGAACCCGACAAGATGATGACTTTGACGGATTCATCTGCGTTGAGGGATTTGAATGCTTGAGCTAATGATCTCATCATGGATTTGGTCAACGAATTCAGGGATTTGGGTCGGTTTATTATTACTTGGGCTATACCAGTTGAGGGTTCTTGGGTTACGATTATCAGATTTTCTGATGTGGGTTTCTCCATTGTTGCCGGATTTGGTTGAAGGTGGAAAGAGAAAATGTTTTTTTTTGGTTGTTTTTTTTTTTTATATTTGCTGTGAGTCGATGAGATGAACTATTGGTTGATCAAGGCGGGAGCGATTGAGAGACTAGGACTCCAGGAGGGTGATGTTGGAGAGTGTGCCAAATGATCAATTGAGTCTTGGGTAGAGACTATACCCGACAATCTTGACCCAATTCATGACTTAAAAATTGACCCAAAATCCAAAATCTAATATAACTCAAAATTGACCCAATCCATAACATGTCCGAATCCTGAATTAACGCAACTCGAAACGAATGTTAGCTGATCCAAAATGACCCGACCTAAATAATTCGTCTGCCAGATTTAGCAGAGACTCGAGAGTTGGGCGTTCAAGCTCACAGGCTCCAACAGGAGATACCTAAATTGGGCCAAGCAAAAGTCATGCAACACCCCCAGAATTCGAGTCTTTTAAAATAATAGAGTAACCTGTTTAACTTTCAAAACTCAACCATCGAATCTTGAGAGTGTTACTGTTACACTTATTTTCCATAGAAAACAAATGCAAAGCAAAACAAAATACAATTTGATAAACTAAGTAGTCTAAGTGGTGGCAAATAAAATAGTCAATACATCCAAACTGTAAAACATTTAAATAAAGTAAAAAAAAAAAGGAAAATTACTAAGTTCGGAAGTAAACTAAATTGTCTTAGCTACGTGTTTATTCTAACGTCTCCTCACACGTAATCGAGTACCCTCTTACCAACCTGCAGAATAAATCAGAAACAAGAAAAGAGAGAAAACTCCCAAAATAAGATAAACTGAGTAATTCCAACTCCATCCCGTAAAATAAATAATTTTAGTTCGAAAACATTTTATACATAATACAAATACATAGACATTATGATATTAAACCATTACCACATTGTCACATAACACTTTTATTACTTATTATTAAGAAAGGGAAAGAGAATGTCAGTAAGCCGGGACTAGTCCCTGTCACCACCTACTTTAAAGAGGGTCACGCGTGACCCCAAATGACCATGAAAATAAACAAAATGTCCCTAGTGTGCACACCCTTCACTAATACCCAGTGATTAGGAGGAAGACTAAACAACAATGTACGTTAATTTAAACCAACTAGTAGCAACCATAACTACTAGTGGGCAACCTGTTCTTCACCCTTTCGGGTTTCATTTCCCTTCTTAATTGTAATGTAGATTTAATAGATTAAATTATCCGATCACATTGCACACAAGTATTGCACAAATCAATTTAATCCCAAGTAACAATATTTCAATTTTAGTATTATTAGAACATAGTCATTTTACATGACATACGAATTACCACTCATTTCCCAATAGGCCTTAGAGACCATCAATTACATATAATCAATCATCTAATTCCCAAGATTTTAATTATATTAAAAAACTCATATGATATCAATTATTTAAATTTTCGAAAATACTTATACTAGTACACAAAATATAGAAAACTAGTATAAATATGATTCCACTTATCATACGATAACACACTCATCACATATAATTACATAAACACGTAGTTGGCACACAATATTTCAAAACAATTTCCTAACGGGATTCTAAAGATGATGAACATTGAAAATTACCTTGATCGTGCGTAAATCTCAAGGTAAGTAACCTCTAAAACGTTCACCTAGTAGCCTCCGTCTACAAATAAACAGATAAACGGGGTCTAAGTTAGTAATATCGTACACTACTCGCTATTAAGTAAGCAATCTGTAAAACCCATATAATCAAAATATAATAGTTACATACTAAAGTTTGGTTTTATAAAAACAATGATCTTTAAACCAAGATCATGAGTTTTATACGAGTAAAACAATTTAAGGCTACTCCACCCAAAACTATTCAATCATTACTTACTGACAAAACCTATACCATTAATTCCTTTTCTTTTCTTTTTTTCGAAAACCACTGTAAATGTAAGTGCAAAATAACGCAATAATTGTATAAAATAAGGAAGCAAAATCCATTTTGTCATTGTAAAATATCTAGTAACGGAGGAAAATTTTGAGGATCAAGCTAAAACACCAAAATCAAAACCCTAGATTTTGTTTTTAGGGTTTCGACATTCGTGGTGGTTCAGTTGGGGTGGAGATGGCGCCGGGAGGGGCGAAATCGGTTCGCCGACGCAAGAAAGGGAAGTTTGGGCGCCGATCGGTGGTTAGAAAAGGGTTTTTCGAAGGAGATAGGTTGTTTCGCGGCCGGTGGTTAGGTTGTTTCTTGGACACCGTGGTTCAAGGGAAAGGGAGTAGCGCCAACGAGTGGTATTCTGGTCGGATTCCGCTCGCGGCAGGTGATGTTCTGGTCGAATTCGCGCCGGCGAGGGGGTTCTGGTCAGATTTGCGCCGGCGGGTGGTGGCTGGCTGGTTTTTTTTTTTTTTTTTGATAATTAACTAAATAATTATTTTAAAATTAAATAATTAAAAAGGAACCAATTATAGGTTTCCACGTGACATTATTAGCCATAATGACTAATGGTGTTAACGTCCGTTAGTCATTAATGGCATACTGTAATTTTCATAAAACTAAAGAGTATATGGTGAATTTGAAAAATGTTGGTATTTGATGAATTATGTTAAAATTCAAGGGTATTTGGTGAAAAAACCGAGAAAAGAATGTTCTAGTAATTGAAAAAAATTACAAGATAATAGAGTGCTAACATCCCTCATATTGAAACTCAATAACTCATCCCTTAAGTACTCGACAAAACTAGACGATTGAAATATGGAATTTTCAAAAAAAAAAAAAAAAAAAACCTCGAATTCACAGAAATTCAAAATAAAGAAAACCTCGAATACACAGAATTTCAAAATAAACAAAACCTCGAATTAACGGAAAATTCATAATAAACAAAGGGTCTACTTTCCAAATATCTTGATTTAACAAAACATCGAATTTATGAAATTTCGAATTTTTTAAGGTTTTACTCCCATAAACAATCACAAACAACTGCTCATTCATTTAATCATTTAGGTTATTTGCAAAAATTCAATGGCAAACCTTTAATAAGTAAACAATTACATTTAAATTAAACAACCAATCTCAAATATTGAACATAATTTAGTCTAGAAAAGACAAAAGTAAGAAGGTTCTTACCAGAATAAACCGGTGTCACCGTAAAAATTTAAAAAACCTCAAACCATTGAAGAAGAGGGTTTTGGAGGAGTATTTACGGTTCTTCTATTGAGCCAATATTGTAAATTACGATGGACGATTGAGATTTGTCAACAAAAACCTTTCTTTTTTTTATTTTTTATCTAGCCCGTCTTGTCCATGGCTTGTAAACGAATAAGGGACCCCAATAACATGTCAAGTAACCCTTGTAATATTAACCGAGTAATCCCTACAACACATTTACACTAACTAAGACCATTATCAGCAATGAGGAGAAAACAAACCCCTCAATCTCTCTCTACCCACTTTCTCTCTCTTCCCATCCAATTCCTCTCATGAGAGGTTTTTTTTTTCTACACCAATGCTCTAAAAAAAAACTCCTCATCACTTTATCCTCCACTATTTACTATACCCCACCATAAATACACATCACCTTTTTTTTATCCTTTTTTTTTTAATAATGTTTATACTACATATTTAACTTTCCAATACAATTAAAAATATGTAATTTTTTTTTTCATTACATTTTAATTGTAATGTAATATTTTTTAATAATTTTTTAATTATTTTGGTAAATTTTTATTTTTTTTGTTTTATATTTGTATTTATTTAATGACGGGTAAAATTAATAAAAAAAACATTTTCAATATAATTTTGAATTTTACGCTCTTATTAGAATATAATAATTAATAAAAATTACAGCAATTATAGATTGTACGAAAGATGTTTTCTTAAACTTAAACGATTACATAATAAGAAGCACATTTTTGAAATGAACACATAAACGGCAATACAAATACATCGGATATTAAATAACAGTACGTTTACGAACTTAATAAAAGCGGTTTGAGCTAAAATAATACACGAGGACGAGTATTAAAACTTAAACACGATACGATTACATTCTACAACTTTGCTTATTCGGTCGTATTATGACGAAAGTTCTGCCATATGTGTTCTACTAAATCTTGTTTGAGAGACGAATGAATTTCTCTATCACGAAGGGCAATCCTCCTCTGAAAATACGCGTTGAAATCTATGTTGGGCGGCCGCCCGACGTTGAATTCAAATGGCTCGTTGTTATTCACCGTGGCACTTGTGCTCGGTCCCGCCCGCGCTGCTGGACGTTGTGGTCGATCTTCTTCGTAGTATCGTCTCAAAACATCTGCCCGTGTGTAGTTGTGTCGTTCATCCTCGACGATCATGTTGTGCATTATTATACAGGCTTTCATAATGTCACAAAGAATATCTTCGTCGAAGGCCAGTGCAGGTTGTCGTAGTATAGCAAACCTAGCTTGTAAAACTCCGAAAGCCCGTTCAACGTCTTTCCGAACTGCTGCTTGTTGATCAGCAAACAACTTATCTTTTTGAACTTGAGGATGTGTAATACCTTGTATAAAAGTTGGCCATTTCGGATAAATCCCATCTGCCAAGTAGTAGGCCAACTCATATTGATGTCCGTTTACCCAAAAATTTATTGGTGGTGCACGACCTTGTAAAACATCATCAAACACCGGTGAACGGTAAAGGACATTAAGATCATTACATGAGCCAGGCATTCCAAAGAATGCATGCCAAATCCATAAATCCTGATCAGCAACGGCTTCAAGAATGAGGGTTGCAGTCTTGCTACGACCAGCATATTGTGCTTTCCAAGCCGTAGGACAATTCTTCCACTCCCAATGCATGCAGTCTATACTACCAATCATGCCTGGAAACCCACGCAATTCATTTTGATGAAGGATTCTCCTTAAATCTTCATCTGTAGGTTTACGTAGATATTCACTTTCAAATTGTGAAATAACCCCCTGACAAAAATGTTGCAATGCATTCCTTGAGGTTGTTTGGCCGATACGTAGATATTCATCCACGACATCGGGGGCTACGCCATACGCTAACATTCTTATTGCAGCGGTGCATTTCTGCAACGGTGATAAACCAAGCTTTCCAGCTGCATTCGGACGTTGTTGGAAGAATTGATCCCCTTCAACCACCTTATTCATAATGCGACAGAACAAAGATCTTCGCATACGAAATCTACGGCGGAATTGGTTGTCGTTATACACTGCATTACTCGCAAAATAATCGTTATATAGTTGTACATGCCCTTTTTCTCTTTCCCTATCCCTTTTAGGCTCCGGAACATTTGCTATATCATTATTAAGCTGGGATTCTTGTGATGAGTGTTGGGGAATTAAAATATGAGGTAGGTGGTTAGCAGCATAATCATCAACTAACCGATCAAATTCAACGTTATTTGAGACGTCAGAAGAACTAGAGCTTGAGGTGGAGGAAATGAAAGACATGTTTTGGTTATGGTTTGATAGTTGGTTTGTTTGGGATTCTTTCCGTTTTGAATAACACTTGCATGTATATATAGTCCAAGTGACTATCAATGCATGTGAGTTGCTCTGATTTTGCATGTGAGTAACTCTGAATTGAAATTCATGTATCATTGCAATCTCTGCAATGAAATTGATGTGTCATGCATGTATATATAGTCCATATGACACTTCAATGCAATCTCTGCAATGAAATTGATGTGTCGTTGCACTCTAAATTGCAATTGAATTATAGATGCATGTGATGTATGACACTTGAACAGTTGATTTGACTAATCAACATAAAGCTGTGGAGATTTTATTGGGAGATGTTTATTTGTCATTAACCATTACATGTGATTTTTATTAAAAACAAATTTCATAAAGTAAATAATTTACTGCATAATTAATGTTATAAAAAACATAATTCATTTCACATTAATGTAAATAAAAAGGAGTACATCTTAACATTAATTAAAATAAAAAGGACTACATTAAACATTAATTAAATAAAAACAGTAGCAAACACATTAAGCTGATCTAAATTACATGTTCCTTCTACCATAGAGTAGTGCACGTAATTCTTCCTTGTAAGCCTCTTCATCAGGAGTTAGGTCCGGTCCCTTTGCCATTAGATCTTGCAGCATTTCGTAGTTAAGCCTTCTCTCTTGAATTTCGACTTGTTTTTGGTGAAGCTCTACTTGTTTTTGCTTCCTTCTTTCCCTTTCCATGTCGAAATCCATCTTCTTCAACCGCATTTGTGCCTCGATTTCCCTCGTAGCATTATTCTGCTTTAATTGCTCGGTAATGTTTGAGACGTCAACAACCACTCCTTTTCCCTTATTACGCCTGGACTTTGCCTTTTTAACGCCATCAGGTCGAGCAAGACCCCCAGAAGTGAAACCGGTAACGTGAACAACATCTTCATCATCAGTTCTACACCGCTTTTCACTTCCACTACTGTCATCCTCGACAGCATCACCGCAAGCTAATCTTTCCTCTCTTGACAACGCCCATCTCAGTTTTGTCCTCCACTTCGGGTCATTTTTAACCATTTCCCAACCATGGTGACAATTAAAATTATGTGGAGTAGGCTTGGAGGAAATATAGAATAACTTACTTGCATTATTAATTCGGTCTGCTTCGTTGTAACCACTTCCATTTGCCCTACCAGCTTCGTCATAGCAACTACTCCATTGTATTAAATCAGTTGCCATCCTTCTCCAACGGCTTTCCAAACTCCTCAAAGGTCTTGGCGGCAGGATGTGGGGTCTCTCAGCCTGTGCTTGATCATATGCTGCAGATATTTTTCGCCATAGCGCAGCTGCTTTTTGGCTTGTACCAACAATTGCATCCTCACTGAATTGAAGATACAAACCAATTAGAGCTTCATCCTCCGCAACAGACCACATTCGACTTCCTTTTGTTAGTGGTTGGTTTTGATTCACAGACACTCTTGAAGGAGGTGGAGAGTATTGAGGAGTGTCTGGAACATTTTCTTCCATTTCATCATCTAATTGAGAATCGGTGCCTTGATAAACAAGAGGTGAATGTGGTTCATAGGTAGTGTTTTGGAAAGGAGTTTGATGAGGTGTTTGTTGTGTTGAATTTTGCAAAGAATTGTTTCCAAGCCTTTGTAGGAAAAGCTGAAATCGAGGATTAGTGACAAAATCATCACCCAAATCAGAGAAATGATTAGAAAAATTAGGGTTATTAGGATCCATAAGTTAATAGAGTAGAAAAGTAATAAAGCTTTTTATTTTTGGAAAAAATAAATAAAGCTTTAAACAATAATTAGTAAAAAAATCAACAATTACTAAAAGAACAAAAACTAAATTATATTTTCAAAAAATAAAAACAGCTACAACAACAATAATATTAATGATAATTATAATAATAATAATGATAATAACAATAATAATAATAATAATAATAATAACACTAATAATAATAATAATAATAATAATATTTTTTTTTCAGAAAAACGTAAATAATAATTATAATAATAAGAAGTGAGGATTAGGAAATTAGTGAATATAGGAGATTTTTGGTGTTTTTGAAAGTATATCAAAATATATCAAAATGCATGTCTATTTATAGAGAAAAAAATTTTATGGCCGTTGGTGAATTTTTTTTTTTTTTTTTTTTATATTTTTAACGGCAATATTACCGTTTTTTTAACATAACCGTTGGGAAAAAGAGAAAAAATCTGATTGGCTCAATTACATGGGACTGACGCGTGTCGCCTCCTCATTCGTTGCTCTGACGCGCGCCAGTACCCATGCATTTTAAATTTTTTTTGCTGGCAACGAAACCAAACGGCGTCGTTTTTGATGCATGCAGCACCAAAACACGTCGTTTTGGTTCTTTTCTCAGCAAATTGAAGCAAGTGGCGTCAGCAGCTCGTGGGCCCCACACAATCACTATTCATTCTTAAATCCCCTCAAGTTATGAGCGTTTTTCATTCTCCTCAAGGATGAGAGGAATTATCCTCATTGTTGTAGAGTACGGTTTTTTTTTTAACACCTCAAGTTTCTCTCGTGAGGGTTTTTTCACTCACTGCTGGGAGTGCTCTAAGTAACCCTTATAACATTGACGAAGAACCCCTGCACCATTAAACGAGTAACCCTTTAACACTAACGAAGTACTACACGATGTGGCCAGCTACATGTAAGAATTTGTGTTTTTTATCACTTTTTTTAATGGTTTTTATAAAAAGGTTTGGTTAATTTATTTTTTGGGTCGAAATTAGTCTAATTTCCATTATTTTCAACCCTTATTCTTATTATTATTATTTTTTACTAAATTTGTATTCTTACAAAAAAAATATACACAATGAGGGTAAATCATCTTCTTGATTAATATGAGGCTTTATATTTCAGCGATATATGCTGAGTTATATTCAATGATTATAGCTCCAATGAAATAAACCTTTGATTGATCTAAGGTTTATGTATTTGTTAAATTTAGCTTTTGTTTGTACTCGTCAAAAAAAAGAAGATTTTATTTGTAAATGTCATATGGTTATTTTATTAATGAATTGGTTTATTTTTTTTTTTTTAAAAAAAAAAACCTTATACCACATACTTTACCCATTCTTTACTCGTAAGAACATTTGACAAATGCAAGTTAAACACTTTGCTAATTGCTCTTTTAAAATAATAATTGCAAATTGTAACCCAATAAGTGTTATAAAATACGGAATAGTTGATCAGCACCCATATTTATTTTCCTAACCAAGCAATTTTCACGCATGGAAATTCAAAGTACGCAAACAGAGGTAATTTAATGCATGCAAAACTAGATGTTCTAGTCGTTTTTTTTTTGCCAATAAAAGATAAAAAAGGAAAAAACGTGCCACTCAATTGATATCATTTAATATCAAATAAAAAAAAAGTTAAATTGCAATACTATTTGATTTAATAAAAAAATTATTCAAAAAAGATATTGCTTAGGCCAATAGGCTAGTAAACATATGAAATGAAAGGCAAACTTCATAACAACATTTAAAAACATGCATAAATAGTTAAATACTCAACAATTTTCTAAAACTTGTGCCACAATAAATCAATATTAATTTAAAATCTAAATACAAACTTAATGAAACAAGTTGGAAGCTCCCACTGACCCCCTTATTCACCCATAAAATTTGACATTAATTATAAATTTACACATAAAGCTCACGCTTAAGAAGCCATGATAAATCTTACTATATATCATTAAACATAACTAAGTCCAACAAATTAAATTAAACTAGTTGAACTTTGAAAATTCAAAGGGGCTCACATAAAATGTATGTAGTAAAAAAGTAAAACATATACTCGATCTCTCTTGAAAGGACAAAGGGAGCATGTACGTGCACAAATTTAATTGTGAGTCAAAGCTTGAAATGTGGAAGGGCCGAGGTGCCATCAAGTCCTTTATTTAGGGAGTAGGTATTATACTCTTTCACCGTGATGTCACGATACTTTGGAGGATTTGTATCGGAGAGTAATTCTTTAATGGGCCCAAACCTTGTAGAAGTCTCTTGAAAAAATGTGGTGAAAAAGGATGCCACTGATATTCTTGGTCCTTTATAGTTAGCTAGTACTCTGTGTTCCACACTTTTGAATTTGTCGTTTGATACTAACTGAAAATAAAACTATGCATTAAACTCGTAACTCAATTAATTGTCGTCTCAAAATATGCATTAACACTTATTTACCTGTAAGTGATCACCTATATTAATGACTAAAGCTCCAGGAGTAGGAGGAACATCAACCCAATGGTCTTGATGAAGAACTTGGAGACCGCCAATTTGATCTTGTAACAAAATAGTTAAGAAGACACTATCAGCATGCTTTGCAGTACCCATTGTCAATTCGGGTTGTGGGCAACCCGGATAATAATGACCCGAAACGTTTAGGCCTTCGGCACAACCCATGTCATATAAATGGGTTTGTTGCAGCCCAAGTGAATCTGATAATAGCCCAAACAACACTTTTCCAAGTTTCATCACTTGACTTGTATACTCCGGTAGTATCTCCCTGCATATCCATAATCAAATTTTAACTTATGATAATCTTTGACGTTATACACTTAATTGGGACAAGCAACTGTCACCTTTTTGTAAAATAAAATAGTTTTGCAACACATGATACTTTCTAATTTGCGTGGAATTTATATCTAGTTGGAATTTTACATCAATTGTCTTAACCGACCTTTCCTAAATTTAGGTACGTTATTAATTAATATTTTTTTACTACGCTTCTACTTAAAAATTGATGAAAGAGTTCAAGGATTATAAAAGTGTATGATAATATAGTTATATTATATATAATGTTTTTTTTTTTTTTTGGAGTGAGGGATAACTCAGTTGGTAAGAGCTTTCTTCCCGGTTCCAGGTGATCTTGGGATTGATTCTCATCCCCGCTCTAGTGGCTCATATAAACCAAAAATTTATAATGTTTTTTTTATTATTTTTATTTATGCCATTTCTTAAGTAGATGAAATAATGTGACAACTAATTCTAAATACTAAAAGTAGAACGAGATATTATAAGGGACAAACCTGCAAGGGGGAGGCAACTCATCAGGACGAGGAGGATTAGGAACCATTGTACAACCAAAAGTGTCTCTCCAATTAGTTGCAGGTCCAGTATAAAGATCAGCATTGCTATGATAAGTAAACCTCTTATTGGCATAATCCCTTGAATAGTAAGCTTTCTTAACCTCATCATCAAGTTCAAAAAACTCTTTTACTCCTTTCAACGTCTCCTCCATAACTATCACTGGAATCCCATGATTTATCACTTGAAAAAATCCCCATGTCTCCGAGGCTTCTCGAATCTTATCAACTATCATCTTCTTATAATCCAAATCATTTTCGCTCGCGCGAAGATCAATGATTGGAAATTGAAATCTAGCATCATCAACATTAGAAGTGCTGGTTTTTTGAGGTAGAGGTCGTTTAGAAATTGGGTGAATGAAGATGGAGGGAATTGTTGTAACACCAGCATCAACAATTCCTTTAACTCCTAATTTTGTTTCATCAAATGCTCTTAATTGTGCTTCTCGATCACTTTTAGTGGACATCTTATTTTGTTTTGGTTGGCTAAGGTTAATACACTTGGAATGTAATATCAAGATTTGGTTATCAGCTGAAATAAAAGTGGACATAAGTTGTAAGAATATATATGGTTGCAAAGGCTATAAACGACAAGATTAAAGTTTATTTTTTTCCACTATGTCATCTTTTCTTGGACTCCAAGGAGTATATCTAATCTAACAATAAAAAATAAGAAATGAAGAAGAATACATGTTTGTGTTTGATTCTTTGACTGACCAAGTGGATGACTCCTAATAAGTTGCTCGTAGTACCTATGTAAAGTCGGCATACATGGCCGGGTTACACCATCACGAGGGTTGGTTAAGCACAATACAAAAGTGATCTAATCAGATACAAATTCATCACAAGTTTGACACGACATAAGAAGCACAATAATGATGAAGTACTTGTTAACCTGATGAAGCATTTTCACTACTTATTTAATATGGATACTTCCATTTTAACAAAAGTTTTTTTTTTTTTTTTTTTTTTTTTTTTTTTTTTTTTTTTTTTTTTTTTTTTTACACACACAGTTGCATAGTGTATTCAAGGTTTTTTTTATTTTTCATTTTGATGATTAAATGATATTATTGCTCATTTAATTATCAAATTTTCATCATTTCTTGCACCAAGATGTATTTAAAAAAATTTCATCACTTTGATTGTGCATGTTTGTTTGTTTATGCACAAACTTTTATTCTATTGTCAATTACTTAAAATTATAAAAAAAAAATAAATAATAATATTTAAAATATATATCGATACGCATTTAACAAGATGTACAAGTAATATAATAATGTTTATCATTATACGCTGTATAATATAGTTAAATAATGTATGAAGATAATTTAAGTACATATAAATAATCAATATAGACATATACGTAGTAGCTAGTAGTACACTAAAAATACGAGTCATTAAATTTCTTACTTCGTAAGTTCGTAGTAAGCAAGTGTCAAAGATATTAAAGCATCATTACGTATTAATGTAATTTTATTTTTTTGAGAAAGAACGTATAGTTTTGATCCTCTATTTGATTTTCTTGGGCTCCAAGGAATCACAGAGAAAAAACAGTACAAGTATTGTTTTTAAAAGGTGTATGGGTTTGACCGATCAATTATTTTTTTCGCACGATCATTGTTGCTTTTGAGTTTGTGACTGCTTCCGTCACTTGAAATACTCTTAAACACAAATTCCTGGTTAAGGTGGATTTTTATTAATTATTATAAACGGATTAAAATGATCTAAAAGTATAGAAATTTATCCTTATATAATACGGAGTTTTAAATTTACTACTGTATTTTCTTAACATAAATTTTACTCTTAGAAAAACATTTATAATGTATTAAATCAATTATATTAGCTTTTATAACATGTATTCATTAGATTATACACATTAAAATAAATTAAACTCATTACAAATTAAAAGTTACCCTTAAAAGGGTTAAATTTACCTTAAAAAATGTTAAAATTATCTTAAAATTGACCGTCTTACCATAAAATTACCTATACTTTAAGTCCACCTTATACAAGAATTATTGTTTTTTTTTAACATATACTTTGTACTATATTTTGGATAGAGAGCCAACAGGTCAAACTTGTGATTGTTTTATACTCATGCATGCAACTCTTATACGTAGGTCGTAGTACTTCCTCCGTATTGAACACAAATTCTCCAAAAAGGGGGGTGTATGTTAACTTATTGTAAGACGGGTTAAAGTTATCATAAAAGTATTTAAAGTTACCCTTTATACTACAAAATTTATTATTTTTAATAAATTTTATCTTACAAAAAAATTTAAAATGTATTAGATTAATACTATTTAACCTTTATAGTATGTAATCAAGAATTTATAAAAAATTACACATAAAAATAAAATTCAAACCAACGACAAATTAAAAGTTACTCTTTAAGTGGTTAATTTAGTTAAAGTTATCATAACAAAAGTTAAAATTATTCTCAAACTGACTGTCTTACAATAAAATTAACGTACACCTGCCTTACACAAGACTTATTACGTATATAATTACATGTTTCGCTTTTCCTTTTGCGGCCATATTTTATTACTTGCTCTATTCCTCTTCTTATAAACTTGTAAATTTTACTATTTTACTCCCCACTAAATGATCCCCTCTTTAATTGATTGACTCAATGTTTATGTATTTGTTAAATTTATATTTTATTTGTAGATATCGTAAGGTGATTTTATAAATAAATTGATTTATTTATAAAAAAAAAAAAAAAAAAAAGAAGTACCACATATTTTATCCATTTTCTTTACTCGTAAGAACATTTGACAATTGCAAGTTAAACAATTTACGTTTTTTTAAAACCAGTTAAACACTTTACTAATTGCTCTTTTAAAATAGAATTTTCAAATTGTGAAATAAAATTGTCATTTGATCGGCACCTATATTTATTTTTTTAACCGAGCAATTTTCACGGCTCAAAACCGAAGCACGCAAACAGAGGCAATTTCCTGCACGCAAAACTAGGCATTCTAGTCGTTTATTTGCTAATACTCCGTAAAAGGTAAAAAAGGAAAAAACATGTCAGTTAAGTGATATCATTTAATATTAAATCAAATAAAGTTAAATTGAAATATTATTTATTTATTAAAGATAATAATTTCAAATCATAACTAAAAACTCAAGATATTGCCTTTGCCATAACTAGTTTACATATAAAACGAAAGACATGCAACGTAATAACATTGTTTAAAATCGTGCATAAATAGTTAAGTACTCAACAATTTTCTAAAATTTTTGCCACAACAAACCAATAACTTATTAAAAATCAAAACAGAAACTTAATGAAACAAGTTGGAAGCCTAATGACCCTCTAATTTACCCATAATATTCGACATTAATTATAAACTTACACGTAAAATCCACACTTAAGAAGGCATGGTAAAACTGTGTAATACCACTAACTATCACTAAACATAACCATGTCCAACAAGTTAAATAAACCAATTGAACTTTGAAAATTCAAAAAGGTTCACATAAAATGTATGTAGTGAAATATATGCTCGCCAATCCCTCTCTAAAGGACAGAGGGAGTACTTGCACGAACTTAAATAAATGTAGATCAAAGCCTGAAATGTAGGAGGGGAAAGGTGCCATCAAGTCCTTTTTCCAGGAAGTAGGTATTATACTCTTTCGCCGTATTCTCACGATACTTTGGAGGATTTTCTTCTGATAATAATTCTTTGATGGGTCCAAACCTTGTAGAAGTCTCTTGATAAAATGTGGTGAAAAAGGATGCCACTGATATTCTTGGTCCTTTGTAGTTAGCTAGTACTTTGTGTTCCACACTTTTAAATTTGTCGTTTGATACCAACTGAAATTAAAAACTATGCATTAAACTCGTAACTCAATTGTTTGTTATCTCAAAATATACATTTAAAATTATTTACCTGTAAGTGATCGCCTATATTAATGACTAAAGCTCCAGGAGTAGGAGGAACATCGACCCAATGGTCTTGATGAAGAACTTGGAGACCACCAATTTGATCTTGTAACAAAATAGTTAAAAAGACACTATCAGCATGTTTTGCGGTACCCATTGTCAATTCGGGTTGTGGACAAGCCGGATAATATTGACCCACAACGTTTAGCCCTTCGGCACAACCAATGTCACATAAATGGGTTTGTTGCAGCCCAAGTGACTCTGATAATAGCCCAAATAACACTTTTCCAAGTTTCATCACTTGACTTGTATACTCCGGTAGTATCTCCCTGCATTTCATAATCAAATTTTAACTTATGATGATATATGACGTTATACTTCATATAAAATAGTTATTTTTTTTTTTGAACAAAATTTGTAAAATAGTTTTACTACACACAATACTTCATAATATGTGTAGAATTTATAGTTTGGAATTTTAAATCAATTGTTACCGACCTCTTGTAAATTAGATTGTGTGCACGTTTATAACTATAAATTTTTACCGTGCTTTTACTTTAAAAGTGATGAAAGAACTCAAGGACTATAATAATACAATTTTATGATAATAAATGATATTTTTACACTTTATATCATATTGTTTCCCTAGAAGATGAAACAATGTGATAACTAATTTTGGATACAAAAAGCCGAAAGAGTTATGAGAAGGGACAAACCTGCAAGGAGGAGGGAATTCATCGGGATGAGGAGGATTAGGAACCATCGTACAAGCAATAGTGTCTCTCCAATTAGTTGCAAGCCCGGTGTAAAGATCAGTATTGCTATGATAAGTAACCTTCTTATTGGCATAATCTCTTGAATAATAACCCTTCTTAACCTCATCATCAAGCTCAAAAAACTCTTTTACTCCTTTGAATGTATCCTCCGTAACTTCATCAGAAATCCCATGATTTATAACTTGAAAAAATCCCCATGTCTCCGAGGCTTCTCTAATCTTATCGACAACCTTCTTCTTATGATCCAAATCATTTTCGCTCACACGAAGATCAATGATTGGAAATTGAAACCTAGCATCATCAACATTAGTAGTGTTTGTTTTTTGAGGTAATGGTCGTTTAGAAATTGGGTGAATGAAGATGGAAGGAATGGTAGTAACACCAGCATCAACAATTCCTTTAACTCCTAATTTTGTTTCATCAAATGCTCTTAATTGTGCTTCTCGGTCACCCATATTAGTTAACATCTTATATTGTTTTGGTTGGCTAAGGTTAATACACTTGGAATGTAATATCAGGATTTATATACTTGTTTATGGTTGCATTTTGCAAAGGCTGCTATTAAGTGACAAGAATAAAGTGTTGCCTTTTCGGTTTTTCCACTACGTCTATTTTCTTTTCTTGGACTCCAAGGAGTATATCTAACAATAATTGACTAAAAAGATGACTTTTAACCTAGTACCTATGTAAAGCCGGCACACGTGGGTTAGACCATCACAATTTGCTAAGGGCCGATTAAGCACAATACAAAAATAAATTAATCAGGCGCGAGCCTTTTAAAAATTAAACCACGATAATAAATTAATGATGAAATATTTTTTTAACTTACAAATGATGGGGTATTTTTTCTGCTTAATTATTCAGTACTCTATCCGTCCTTAAATTAGAAGCTTATTTCTTTTTATTATGTGAGTAATAAATATTAGAAATAAGCTTCTAAGAAAGGGACGGAGGGAGTATTATGAGTTATTTTATTTTGATTGTGTATGTTTGTTAATACACATTTTTTTACAAGAATTGTTAATGCATAACTTAACTTTTACTAAATTGTCAATTATTTTAAAAATATATATATATATATATATATAAACTGACATTTTGAAAATATACATTAATATTTTTTTTTTTGTGAGGAAAAGCAGTCACATAAATAATATTAAGAATCCATTTCCGCAAGCCTTAAGAGACTTTCAGAGAATGGGGCAAAACTTACAAGCTCATTGCCGGTGTTCACCTCATTTCTAACAATTAAATGAGCCACCGTATTTCCTCCATGTTTAACATGACTACAAAAAAACGAAGAGAAAAACGAACATAAACTGATAACTCTACTAACAAACAAGAAAACATAGTTAAAACCAACTCTCTTAGCCCGTACTTTTTGAACCACACCAAGGGCGTCACTCTCTAGCCACACATTGTCCACATCAAAACGCTTGGCCAATTCCAAACCATAGTACATGGCAGCAGCCTCCGAAACACTAGGTTCCCAATTCCCTTTCAATCTTTTCGTACCTGTAAATAGGATAGCACCCTCACTGTTTCTGGCTACTACTCCCAGCCCCACCGTACCATTAGGCAGAATTGCAGCATCAGTGTTCACCTTTACAGTGCCATTTGGAGGCTTTATCCAGGTGCCAATCTGTTGAATTGACTACCTTATATTTTGATGATTGACTTACGTAAAACAAACTCCGACTAATGATGTTTAAAAGAGTCTTGGTTAAGCAGAAGATTCAGGTTTGAAGTAATATGTTCCGGAGTAGGAACAACAAAGTTTGGAAGACTTGATGATGAATGCAAGCTTTCAAGATGTCCTCATATCTCTATATACTTAGTTACTCAGTGTATGAACTTAAGAAACAAAAGTGTTGGAAGGAACTAAGAAGAAACATGAAGTTCCTGAAGGAACCTGAAGTTCCTGAAGGAACTTGACGATTGACGGATGACTCAGAAAAGTTTTTAACAGTTTTCAAAATCCTTAATTTAAGGAAGAGATAAAATCAGTTTGAAAATATTGGGATAAAATCAGTTGAAAAGATTTATTTTATAAATAAATAAAATCTAAATAATTCTTTAATTTAAAAGATAAATTTATTTTAAATTAATTAATTGTTTAAATATCTTTTTAATAAATAAATATTTATCTTTTTAATAAATGTTCTTTTAAACTGATTTTTGACTTGGTAAAATTCTGTTTGCTTAAAAACAGGATGCACGTTGGATTTGGGAGTCAAGTTAGTGAAATCATGGTTCTCAACTTCCTCCACTTACATCCCAACTTCCCAGTATAGGTGAACGTGGGATTGAGGGGGAAGTAGGAACATGATGGAAGCTTGGATAATCTCCCTATAAAAACAGATCAACGTTAAGTTTTGAAAGCGTGGAAAAACAATCTTAAGTATTCTGAGCATAGAGTTTCAAAGTGTTTAAAAGAGAAGTTCCTTCCATCCTTAGTCTCTTAAGTTCTTTAGAAAATACTTGTAATCATTGTGTAATTGGGTTTGGGTTGTGAGAGTTGTAAAGTGTGAGATTTGAGAGAGTTGTTTACACTGTACAAGTGATTCGGAGTAGAATCACAAAGTGTGAGAAACTGTGATTGAGGGATCACAGTTGGGTAACTTGAGTTCCTCACGGAACTTGAGTCTAGGCAACGTATTAGTGATTGTAAATCATTTTTACATAGTGAATTTATTCATTGCCTATCTCAGTGTCTTTTCTCTTAGTAGTAGATTTAATTCCGCAAAATTTACCATAGTCTACATACACTACAATTCACCCCCCCTCTTGTAGTATACATTGTTCTATCACAATCCCTCCCCCACCTCCACCTACAACACGACCATGTACTTTGTGAGAGTAGTGCATATACTCGCGAGTATAATTTACAAAGCCAATTGCTAGCTGTTTCGGATCGTGAGGAGGAGCATCAAAAACACTCATATTCCGGCTCGTCTACGCTGCCCATGTCATGGCTGTAAACACACATAAGAACATAAGAATTTATTTCATTATATAATTACCTAATGAAGAAAAAAATAAAATACATATATAATGTTAAAATCATAATGGTACAATAAAAAATATCAAGAAATCATTAAATTTCTTATTGAAGCAAAGTGACAAATTATTATTTTTCATTATATAATTACCTAGTTAAGATAAAAATAAAATATATGAATAAAGTTAAAATCAAAATGGTACAACAACTAAAAATATCAAATATCGAAAAATTATTTAATTTCTTATTGTAGCAAAGTGACAAAGATATTAAAGCATCATTACGTATTATACTATTAATGTATTATTATTGAAGCTAATATGATCCTCTGTCTCATTTTCTTGGACTCCAAGGAATTACAGAGAAAACAAGTACTGTACAAGTATTATTTTAAAAAGTGTTTGTTTTTGAGTGATCAATTTTTTTTTTCTTTTTTCGCACGTAATAAATTCATCGTAGTTGCTTTTGAGTTATATTGTCACTGCTTCCGTCACTTGAGATACTTTTTAATAAACTATTTTTTGGATAGAATAGATCGAAAGCCAACAGGCTGAAACTTAATCTATTTTATACTCGTACTAGATGAAGCTCGTGCGATGCATATTTTGTTTGTATTTTTTCGAATAAACTATTTTACTAAATATATATTTATCTAATAAAATTTGTGATATTTGTAACACTCCGTATTTTCGAACCACTATTTTATATGCATTTCAAACTATTAAACCTAATTTCTAATTTAAATCTCAATTTCTAAATTGAAATGTTAATTTAATTATTAAAATCGTTATTTTGATTTAAGTGTCATCCCAAGCTTTTGAAACCCTAATTATAATGTTTTGACAAAACGATTAAAAGTTTTATTTAAAAGGTTTTATATTTGAGATTTAATCCTATCAATTATATTTGACTTGTCTGAGTTGATATTAGCCTTAAAGGGTGATTCCTTAAGCTTAAGCATCAATTCAATAAGTGTTACACTTAAATTGTATTTTTGATATTTAACCTATTAAAATTGATATGGGTCATCATGGGTGATTCCTTGACTAAAGTGCCAATTTAATAGGTATGAAATGATTTTAAGGTTTTAAGACGTTTTACGTACGGCCGTATCAATATCGATAAATAAAGTTGTATTGGGTGTTTCCGTCAACTCGTTTATCAAATTGATATTGTTTATAAACTATTCTTTCATTTTATATTTATAAAACTCGTTATGATGTCCTTTTGTTAATTAGGTCATTATAAGTAAATAATATTATTGTTTTGCATTTCGTCTTTTTATGTTGCTTTTCTATAAATATGAACTTTATATATATTTTTGTATTGTTATTTAAATTACTGTTTTCATTCTTATTATAGTTATTAATATTATTGTTATTGAGATATCAATAATATAATTTATTATTATCGTTTTTTAAACGCGAATCAAATCGCCTCCCGTTACATTCCCTTCCTAGTCTAGTTTCGGGCCAACTAGAATTTGTTTATGGATCGGATTTTGCCTTAAAGATTTCATGACTAAATAGATTAAGATAGGCTTGTTTATTAGCTTCCTTAATCCCAATTTTAAGCCTAAACTAATTTAATCATTCAATCAAGCCCAAAAGAGGAGCCTTGAACCGATATATTGTGAGGCTTATTTGTGAGCTTCATTTGAGCCCATTTTAGGCTGATTTACACAGCAGCTTTGAGGGATTAGTGGCTGATCATTTTACCCTAAGTAACCTCCTCTAATCAATGGTAATAACACCTAATTATGGCTGCTCAACTCCTCCTCTTCTCCTTCCTTTTCTACGTATAAAATAGCAAGCTTTCATCTGCATGTTTTTCTTCACCAAAAAAACGCAGCACATATCTTCCTTCTTCCATTCTATTTTTCGTGGGTTTCAAGGGGTAATTCAAGGGTGATTTGAACCCTAGTTGCTGCTGTCAAGTGCTCCTAATTTCGTGCCTTATTCATCCCCCTTGGAGCATCAAAAGTGGATGAACAACAAGGGTGTCTAGAGGGTTGTTTTAGGCGTGGGTGGTCTGATCTCGTGGCTCTTCTCCTTTATCTTCTTAATCTGAATTTTCATGCCTCCTAATCAAAGGTAACTAGCCTTTCTTCCCTTAGATTAGAAATGCTAGGTTTTAGAGTTGAATTGATAGGTAGAAATCATGTTAGGGTTAGATTAATTTGTTGATTGTCGTTCTTGATATGTATGTCAGATTTTTGTGTACAATTAGGGTGATTGTGGTTGTTTGAATCATGTTTTTCATGCTTGAAATATCTTACTATCAATCCCTAATTGGTGTATGATATTTTGATGTGATTACATTAGGTTTTGTGATGACTTTTGGGTACTTAAAATCTGATTATATAACCTGATTATGTGCGTATAAGACAGCAGTTTTTGTGGTGATTTTTGGTTGTGACTGAGCCCTGATTTCAATGATTTTATTTTATAATATTGAAGAGGATTGTTTTACGATCGACTTGATATATTATGGGTAAAATTCGGAGGTGTTTAAGGCCACCAAATGACTGATTTTGTGAGACAAGCTGTGCTGCCAACGTGAATTAGGACGTGATGTTAGATAGAGTTTATGAGCATGTAAATATATTATTTTTGTGACCAATTGAATGTATTTTCTAGATTATCATAATGTTAGGATTATATAGGA